CGGGGGGCAGGCTTTTTTTTTTGCGCTCGCTATCTCGAGGGGTATTCAGCAAGGGTGTCCTCTCTTTGGCTCGGTATTCGCTCTTGGGATGGATCCGATTCTTCGGCTGCTGTGCTTGAGGCTGCCGCGCCCTGTCCATTTGCAGTGTGCGTTCGCCGACGACGTAGGGTCGGCCAGCTTCAACATCTATGAGTTGGTACCCATCTTCATGCGTGCCTTTGTCCTCGCTGCATTTGCTGCCGGGCTGGCCCCGAACCTCAAGAAGACGATCATCTGGTTTAATCGCGATTTCGACCGACAGACCGAGATTCAAAAGTTTCGAGCCGTTCGAATCAATGTTTCCCAGTTGGGGATGGAGTCGAGCGCCCGCTACCTCGGGGTCCAGTGTGGCATCGAGGTGCAGGAAGATATTTGGGTCGGCCCTATTTTGAAGTTCCGAGAGCGCTGTCGGCAAGTCGCTCAACCTTTGGCTCGCGATCTTTCTGAAAGCGTTCAACCAGATCGCGGTCATTGTGCTGCCTTTTGCTGCCCAGTGCTTTCCACCCATCGCCGATGTCGAGAGGCAGGTGCATCCCGGTCTTCAGAGCTTGACATGCTCACCGACGCACGTCATCCCTGACGATTTGTCGTACAACCTCACCGCTATAGGCAATGCTCAGGTCTTGATTCGGTCCATGAAGCATGCGGCGAGGGCTGCAGCATATCGCGCGGTGCTAGCATCTGCAGTGTTCTTCGCATGTTTCGAGATGCTCGAGGATGCCCTCGACGACGGGGAAGCGCACGTCGACGCAGCTCATCACCTGGTCTATTGCAAATCATCTGCCATCTCGATGCATCCGAATCTCAAGGAGCTTTCGAGGATCCCAGAAGCACCCCGTCTTTTTGAACCCGGGCTAGAGAAGCCATGACGCGTCTTGTCCAGAGCCGTTCACCTTCTAGAAGTTCCCAGGAGCTCGTTCACGAACGGTTGAGGTGCTGGCACATGCGTTTCCCTGGCGAACTCGGAGGCCTCTCAGTTGACTCGACTGCCGTCTGCCTTGCCTGTCTCAGATCCGTCGGTCAGAACCTCGCCGCCTTCACTCATGCGCAGTATTTGCGAAGCGTGGAATACCTGTCGGAGGTACAGTCATCCTACTCTTGGGTGCAGATTGGATGTCAATGTCTTGGGGCGGATCAGATCATCCACTACCTTCAATGTCCGGTACTTCTAGAAGTGATGCGCTCTCACCTGCTAAGTCTCCCTGAATGGTGGGGGGGGGGAGGTTTTTGCTGGTCTCCTCTTGTTCTCCCGGCCTGTCAACAGCGAGGAGGCGTGCAGTATAGCCATTGCTCACGATATATTACTAAACGCGTTTACAAGCTTCGCTCTGCTGGGGTGCAGAGCTCCGCGCGCGCCCGCCAGCTTGCTGAAGGCAGGCTCCGACTGATCGGCCAAAGGGACACCAGGGCGAGGGCCCTGGCGAGATAGCGGCAGGTTGTGGAGCATGACCCTCTTGGTGGGAGCCAGCCTCCTCCTCCTCCACTTCGCCTCCTTCCTCGCCTCACTTCTAACGACGGCTGCGGCGACGAGTAGTTAATACTGATATTGCGACGACGGCCGTGGCAGCGACGGAGACGACGACAACGGCCGCGGCGGCGACGACACCGACAACGACGACGGCGACGCGACGCGACGACCACGACGACGACCACGGCGACGACGGCGCTGCGGCGACGTCGGCGTCGACCACAGTCGTGACGACCACGGTCACAACGACCACGACCACGACGGCCATCATGACGACGGCTTCCACGACGACGACGACGACGACGACGACGACGACGACGACGACGACGGCCGCGCCGCGCCAGCTACATGGGCAGCCCCACCTGCGGGCCACGCTCGCCCCCCGCCGCGTGCAGCCCGTTTCCCTCCGACGTGCTGCCCACAGGCCGCCCGCGCGCGCGCGCCGCGCGCTGGCCGCGCCTGGCTGCGCCCTGGCCGACGCCAGTCGTCGGCTGTCGCCGCGGGTCGCCGCCGCCCTTTTGGCACGGGGGGGTGTTCGGAGGGCACGACCGCCCCTCATCGAGGTCTCCGGCTCCCTTCTGGACAGCACTCCCGCCTTTTCAATCAAACAGCCGACCCCCCTTGCGCCAGTGGGGCGCGGCGGCCCCCCCCTCGCGCCATGGGGCCAGAAGGTAAAAGGGCGGCAGGACCCCAGTAGGTTGGGGTACGACTGAGGAGGGAGTGGGGCGCGGTTGAGGGGGGGGGCCAGTCATCACCGCTGAGCCATCCCAACCCCGACCGGAACAGGGCGAGTCAGCTCTCCCAGCCTTCACCCTCCAGGTAGGAACGGTTGGTGCGAAACTCGGCCGAGGGGGGCAGGTCGGCCAGCGGGGCCAAGGTTTTCCAGGGCATTCGTTGTCAAGCGAGTGGGCGGCGAACGGGGGGGCGATGGGCGGACGAACAGCGGGAGAGAAGGGGAGCCGTCCACATGTTGCCCGCGCGCTACGACTCGCTGAGGGCAGCAAGGGCACCCGAATCCGCTCAAGACACCTTTTCTTATTGTCGCGCGGCAGCCGCGCGCCCCTCCGCGCCGCTGCCCCCCCCCGCTGCCGACCCGAGCCTCCTCGTCCTCGTCGGTCTTTTTGCAGTCGCCTCGCGACCCACGAGAAAGCAGAGGCGACCTGGCGCCATTTTAGGAGGGCTCCAGAGAGGGTCTCGCCTCCCAAGGATCGACGAGATGACATCCCTGCCTCGCCGGGAGGTCCGCGGAAGCCGCCGGAAGCAAAGCGATGGCGGCTCCGCCTGCGGAGGTTGGCGGAATGTCGGCGGAAGCTGGCGAAATCCAAAAAATCGCCCCCAAGAGATGCAATCGTTTTTGCACTCCGGGTCTTCTGAGCCGGCCGCTCGGACGAGTTTAGGTGCCCGAGCTGGTTAAGCACCATCCCAGGGCTTCCCCCCTGCACAACAGTTTTGTTTGCGGACGCAAGCCTCTCTACGGACCCCATGATGCCTTAGTTCAGAGAGGCACCTCGAGGACCGTGGAGGCTCGCGAGTCGGTGTAGAAGCGCACCGGAGTCCTTTAGTTAAGTATTCCTGGCGTTCCAGATGTTCGGAACCATCGCGGCTTCCGTTCCCTGTAAGAGTGGGGAAGGGCGGCATCAACTCGCGACTCCGACGTGGCCCTGGACGGAGCAGCACGCCAGCGGCATCGCACCACGCCTCATCGAGCTCCCTCGGCTCGTGGTGTTCGTCAGAAGCCATACCGCCGAACTGGCCCGTCCCGTCCACCACGAGCGCGCGCGCGTAAGGAGGACCTCTCGAGGTTAGAAGATACAGGTTTGAGAATCGAAGCTCCAGGATCGAGGTCCGAGGTTCGAATATTGACCTCTTCTCTGGGGCAAGCTTTTCGCCTCAGACCGCTTCTTGCAATGGAAAAGGCAATGGGATTTCACAAAGCAGGCCGCTGGAGGTCTCTGGTTCTCTGGAGGCGTGGCACATCCCTGGAGGCCCCCGGACAGTTTCCATGAGGTCTCCGTTGGCCCCTGGAGGCATCTGGAGGCTCCAGAGGCATTAAACACTTCCAGAACGTCGCGCGAACTGCGACTGCCCCGCCCAAGGCCAGCAGGAAGAGAAGGAGGAAGAGAGCCAGGTTTTAGCAAGTATCCTGGCGAAGGACCCGACCATTTGCAGCTGCAAATCGCGCAAGACAAATGTTTAGAAGGATGGGGGCGAGCACGAGGATTGTGACGTGGATGAGAAGGACGAAGATGAAGACTGGCAGGAAGCTCAGGAATGACAAGTGAGGTAGAACAAACGAGTAAGCTCCCTATTTGGCCACGAAGCGTGCAAGCGGCGTGCTGCCCGAAATGGGCGCGGCATCGACATGCGAACACTGCCACTGGGGCCCTCTGCAGAGCTTCGTTTGGCGGGCGGTGTGCCGAAATGGGCGCGGCAGCATGCGCACCCTGCCACGGCGGCATTCGGTAGAGCTCCCTGTGGGGCCAGAGACAGATGAGTTAGTCGGAGAGGCCGAGCACGCGTGGGGAGGCCTAGCAGCGGGCAGCTGGCACGAGTGAGTAAGCCTCCAAGGTCAAGCTGATGGCACACGCGGGCGGAACCTCCTCGATCATGCCACGCCCACAGCAGCAGTCGATGCTCGTAGTTCCGGGCCCCACGGGACCCCGAAACGGCCCCCACCCAAACGGGCTTTAGTCTTCAAGGTGCCTTGGGCCGCGGGGCCTTGCCCGGGACCAGGGGCTCTTGATTTTTGTCGCCGTGTGCTCGCCAACCGCCCTGGGAGCGCGCGCTCGCTCGTCTACCCGCGCCCGAGCTGCGCTCCCCCGCGCATGTCATTGCAGGGCGCGCACGGCATGAAAGGTCAGACGAGGGCTCGGCGGCTCGCGCGTGCAAAAATCGCAAAATCGCGCGCGGGAGCGGGCAGCGAGCAGGGGATGTTGATATTCGGTCTTGTCGTTGCTCCTCCTCCTCCTCCTCCTCCTCCTCCTCCTCCTCCTCCTCCTCCTCCTCCTCCTCCTCCCCTTGTGGAACGTTGCGCGCCCGCCGGAGATGCTGAGCGATACCGGATGTAGCCGCACGAGCTTGCGTCACAGAGTCCCCTCAGTTGCCCGTCTTCTCCAGAAAAGGGTGCTAAACTTTTAAATGTTCATCCTGAGATCCTGAGTCGTTTTTCGCACTCCTGCGGCCTCGGGGAGGCCCGTTTGAGTTCGAAAGCGGCGACAAACGTATAGTCAGAGCCCCGAATCATCAGGGGTAACTCGGGTCAGGGATAACTCGGGTTCGTTTCTCGGGAATCCAAACCCGAGTTACCCCGGACCCGAGTTACCCCGGATAACTCGGGCGTCCAGAGCCCCGAATCATCAGGGGTAACTCGGGTCAGGGATAACTCGGGTTCCTTTTTCGGGAATCCAAACCCGAGTTACCCCGGACCCGAGTTATCCCGGATAACTCGGGCGCCCAATATAGCATGCTGATGGTTTTTCTCAGCCGGTCCAGTCTGTAGGCATTTGGGTTCATCTATTTGTTTTAAGCGCAATTTCGACGTACACGTGATGGGCACCCACGCATGCCTTCGCAATCAGTGGCTTTTGAAGTGGCCGGCACAGTATTCGAAGTTGCCCCGTCCAATCTTCGGCCCAATTACTTTCCTAGGTCTAAGCTGAATTTGGCGCTGGATGCTCGTGATGTTGACGACGATCGGCCCATATCGATTTCGGGTAATCCACATCTCTTCACTTACATTCTTGACTTGCACCGCCAGTATGGCTTCGTCGAAATTCCCCCCACTGTATCCAAGGATGCGCTGATGCAAGAGGGGCTTGCCTTGGGCTTGTCGATGTCTAGAGAGCTCATCGTTGAAGAAGGCGACACCTTTCGACAAAAGATGGGTGTTGGGCGGTCCATTGTAGCGGAGGACTATTTCCAGGCATGGACTGTTGACCAGGTCGCAGACTGGCTGCAGGGCGTGCAGCAAGGACGCTTCGCCAAATATGTCCCCCGCCTGCGCGAGCAAGGTGTGGATGGCCTAGCGTTGGCGACGCTGGTTCCAGAGACGCTGAAGATTCTGGGCGTCATCGAGCCCAAGACCCGCGCCGCCCTTTTTGCCAGCATCAGGCACGAGGCCGAGTGCCGCTCAGTGACAGAGGCAGCGCAGGGACAGGGTGGAACCAGCCTCGCGCCAGCGGAGGAAGAAGAGGGAGCGGAGGAGGGGAACGGCGAAACTGAGAAGAGGCGAGACGCGGCAGCACTGATGCTTGGGGCCCTGTTTGGCGACGGCGGCACGTCCGAGCCGTTCACCGCGGGCATCGCGCAGTGGCGCTCGGAGCAGGGGGCTGCGATATCGGGCCAGGAGGTCGCAGCATCTCGTGGCGATGCGGCCGAGGTTTCCGAGAAGGAGGCAGCATGCACCACTGGGATCCTCGTGGCTGCTCGGCTGCGCCCTGTGCTGGCAGGCGGTCCCGACGGTCCAGCCGTAAGCCTGGGAGATTTCGAGGCTGTGACTGCTATGCTGGGCACGGGCAGAGGCATCGTCGTACACGAGTGCGGTTTGCAGCGCGACGGCAAAACCCCCAAGATAGAGCACCGGTCCTTCCGCACGCACGAGGTGATCGATCCCACTCGCGACGAGAAGCGCGTCTTCGACATTGCAGCTCCTCTGATCGACGTTGCTGTGAAGGACTCCCTGCATTCCACGATTCTGTGCTACGGGCAGACTGGCTCAGGCAAGACGCACACAGTGGGGAACCTCTCATGGCGGATATCTCGGCATTTGTTCAGCGCTCACTCTGCGAAGCTCGTCGTCTTCGAAGCCTTCGAGCTCAAGGGTGGGGCCAAGGGCCTTTTGAAGCACGACTGCCACGTGATCTCCTTGCATACGGACTGTAAGCCAGAGTTGGCTCTGTTGGAAGGGGCGGACGGCGCCGTCCGTGTTGGTGGCAGCAATGCGGTGGTCGCTGGCGAGGGGCAGCCCCTCAACGTTTCACACTGCATGCTGGCATCAAGCCCTGAAATGCTGGAACAGTTTTTTCGAGAGGCGGCGGGCCGGCGCGCAAGCAGCGACACAGAGCGCAACGCAGCGAGCAGCCGTTCACACGCCTTCTATCGCTTCTATATCGCCGAGGCAACGCGTTCAGATTCGACGGTACTTGAGCTGCCAGAGGTCCTCGGCAATGGCACCTGCGTCGAGCTCGTCGACTTGGCTGGCAGCGAGAGCAACAAGGACTGTCTTTACCACAACAAATTGCAGATCAAGGAGCGAGCCAACATCAACGCCTCGCTTCAGGCGCTGAACTCTTGCATCCAAAAATCCGCGCAGGGTGCGAGCTACGTTCCTTTCCGCGCAGACAAACTGACGCAGCTTTTGCGCCCATGCTTTGCCAAGAGAGACACAGCGAGCCGCGTGCCAACTGTCTTGTTCATCGCTTGCCTTTCCCCTTTAGCGAGCGATGCCCAGCAGTCGATTCGTACCATGACCTACACGCAGGAGCTGGCAGGTTTCAAGCCAAAGGCGACTCGCAATGCGCAGCAGATGAAGTTCAGGGAACCATACGTGAAGCGCCTCGTCGCGGCTGTGCGAACAGGCGAGATCGAGGAGCTTCGAGCGGCGATCGCAGCAGCGCAGCGAGCGGGCGTCACTGGCCCCGAGCGTCGCCGTGCGGCCGAAGCAGTGCGGATGCTAGATGCCCGGGAGTCGGAATGAGGCCTCATCACTCGGGCGTCGCACGAGAGTTTGGACGACATATGCACATCTAGCCGGTCAAGGAGTTGGGGTCTAACAAAAACCCAGACCTCGAACCCCCAATTTGGGTCCGGAGGCCTCCCAGGGCCCACCCTCGGGCCTAACCAGACGCGCCATGAGGGTCCCAAGAAGCTTCCAAGACGGTCAGGAGGCCCTCGAGACGGCGCAAGAGCGTTCCAAGATGCCAAAGGTGGCGTCAAGACGGCCCAACAGGCCCCCAAGATACACCGAGAGGGCTCCACGATGATTCCGAGGCAAAGTATGTCCCCATGTCCTTAGCAAGACATATCTTTTTAGCGTGTTCGCTCTCGGGGTCTGGACAAAGTCCAATCAACTCAAGAGGCCCCCCTCAAATCGACCCAAGATGGATCAATAGGACCTACGAGGGCCCCCAGGAGGCCCCAAGAGGCTCCGAAGAGATCCCAAGAGGCCTCAGGCGGCTCCCAAAAAGAGTCACCCCTCGAGGCCCCAACCCCCAAGGGACATCCAGGAGGCCCCAAACGGCCCCGAAGTAGCATGCGGTCCAAGAATGTCCAAGACCGCCAGCAGGCCAGCAGACGCCCCCACGCGACCCCAAGACGCCCTTGAGAAGCACCTTGCCCATAAGACAGAGATGACAGGACTACGCAGCGATGATGACTTGCTGGTAATAATGCGCAGACGGAGGAGAAGTGGGAGGAGGCCTCGTGAGCCCTTTCCCCCAGGCTCGTCTTTGAACAGGCGTTCTCTAACACCCTCCGACAACGCTCCCAAGAGGGCCTGCGGAGGCAAAACTCAATGATTATGTTTACGTGTTATGTCTTGGCTTGGGCATATCATATATCTGTTCTTCCAGTTCCTGTGCGCCCACGACACCCCTACCTCGACGCCTGTCGCATTTGTGACCTCTGTGTGGCCCTCCTCCTCTACAATTCTCTCGCGCCACCATCCTCCCTCCATCCACGCGCATCGTCATCGTCGTCGTCGTTGTCGCTGTCGTGGTTTTCGTCTTGGTCGGCGACGGATTCGTTTCGCAATGTGTAGACCTTTGGACCCCTTAGGGGACTTCCGGAAACTTCTGGTTACCTCAAGAGACGCTTTGGTTGTGGAAGCCGATCAAAGGAGAGGAAGCGTGTTGCCCAAAAAGATCTAGTTGCGTCGCTAATGTGTTTTAACTGTATGTTGGATGTCCACCTCCACGGGGGATGTGTCGGGACATCCTTAAATCAGTCAATGTACATGGCTGTAAACAAGAAACATTCAAAACACCTATGATACGAATTATTCGTGTTTAGCACCTGTTGTTTGAATGTTCAAAAATTGTAGTTCTAATACTTGTGAGTGTTTAATTCCCTACCTAGGCTCTGCCTCGAAGGGTTCTTACTCGGTGTGCTTAAAGGGCCGGGCAGTGTAACCCGCCCCGGGCGGTTCTCCCAGTATCCGCCCCGCGGTTCCCCCAGTTACGTCCCCTTAGCTTAGCGTTGCTTATCTCATCTTAGCTGAGCTTATTTCATCTTATCGTAGCTTAGGTTCAGCTTAGCTTTAGCTTAGCTTCAGCTTAGCTTTAGCTTAGCTTTAGCTTAGCTTTAGCTTAGCTTTAGCTTAGCTTTAGCTTAGCTTTAGCTTAGCTTTAGCTCAGCTTTAGCTTAGCTTTAACTTAACTTTAGCTTAGCTTTAGCTTAGCTTTATCTTAGATTTAGCTTAGCTTTAGCTTAGCTTTAGTTTAGTTTTAGCTTAGCGTTAGCTTAGCTTTAGCTTAGCTTTAGCTTAGACTTACCGTTGCTACTAATGCTGCTTTCCTAGGGGCTCCAACTCCTAGGTAGGGTCGCACTGGGATAATATATGTATTTCTAGTGTTCTAAAAGTGTCTCAGAAAATCCCTCTGGCGGGGCAGCCCTAGATATCGCCAAGAAGACCCCAGGAGGGTCCAATGTGGTCTCGCAGATGCCACCCGACGCCCCAAAAAGAACCCCAAGAGGACCTAATCCGCCCTCCGAAGGCCCCCAACAAGCTACAAAACGGCCCCCGAGGTCTCTTCTCCTCTTCCGACGATGGTGATGATGATGACAATGCAGACGATTGGAATGATGATGATGATGATGATGATGATGATGATGATGATGATGATGGTGATCATGATGATGATGATGATGATGATGATGATGATGACGATGATGATGATGATGATGATGATGATGATGATGCTGATGATGATGATGATGATGATTATGACTATGATAATTGGTGATGATGATGCTGCTCATGATGATGTTGCTGCTGCTGATGTTGATGACGATGATGATGATGATGATGATGATGATGATGATGATGATGATGATGATGATGCTGCTGATGATGATGACCTTCATGATGTCTTCGTCAACTCGACGCCCCCATCAGGCTCGCAAGAGCTCTCTTAGAGGCCCCCAGGAGACCCGTATCTGCTTATAGGGAAACCATTCTTTTGTGAAAACTGGCCTTTCGCCTGCGATTGGCCTCTGAGCCTCAGGATGGTCCAAAAATGGCTCCAGTGGATCCCGAGACAGCCCAGGACCCAGGACGGTCGCTCAGAGGATCCCCCAGGCGATTCCACGAGGCCCCACAACGGCAAGCACCCTTCAAGATACATCTTTCAAGAACCCAGAGGACACCATACATTTTGCCGATTCCGCGTTTGGGGTTTGCGAGTTGCCTTGCAGACGACTGCGGATGTTCCCCGAGACCTCCTTGGGAACATCTGGCCGACGACGACGGTGATAGTTTTGATTATGGTTATATGTATGACGATGCTGACGATCGGGAGGACGCCCATGATGAGTACGACGATGACAGTAGCGACGCTCGCGCTGACGACAATCCTTACCACCCCGCTGGGATCCCCGGAGCTGAGGAAACCGCCCTCGATCGGCCCAACCTGGCCGGCTTCGGCAGCCCCCAAGGAGGCTCAACATGCGCCCAACACGGCCGCTACAGGGACCCTCAGAGCTAGAAAGAGAAGGTGCCCCGAGGCCACGACAGCCCTAGGTATCGCCAAGAAGGCACCGCGAGGTCCCAACGAGTCTCCCAGATGCCTCCCAACGTCCCAGAAGGAACCCCAAGAGGACCCACTGCGCCCTCCGAAGCTCCCCAAGCAGTTTCAAAAAGGCCTTCAGCGAACTCGCGGATGTTCCCAGAGGTGTCTCCAGGAGCATGAAGCCGAAGACGGCGACGATGATGATTCTCCAACTGATCCTTGAAGATTCCGTATTTGCTCTTGCGACGGCCTGCAAGTTTGAGCTTGCCTTCTAAACGGCCGTGGATGTTCCCGGAGGCCTTTCCGGGAACATCTCGCCGAAGACGACGACGACGTGGATGATTTTCGTGATGACGCTACGCTTGGTGACGCTGATGATCGGAAGGGCGACGATGATGAGAATGATGTTGACGATGACGGTGATCACGCTTACGATGACGCTTCTTACTCCGAAGGGGGCCTTGAACGGGCCCCGGGCACGTCGCAAAGCAACCTCCGACGACTAGCTGGTCTTAGGGACGTTCTCCGGACACCTACAGCCCGAAGTTGTGACAAAGCCACGACGTCGGATGTCTGATGCCGTCGCCGCCGCCGTCGTCTTGATCGAGGCTGACGCATCGACATTTCGCAGCCAGACCCTGGCTTCCCCGGGGGGTAGGCAGCACAGATGACCACGGAGCGGGGAGCCGCAGGGATCAGGAGGCACCTCGAGATGGACCAGGGGAACGGTCTTCAGCGAACTTCGGTCGCGCGCAAGACCATGCATGTCTGTGTGACAGACCCGGAGTAGTGGAAGGCCCCTGGTGCGACAATGGTGACGACGGAAAGGAGGAAGGGCGGAGAATAGGAGGAGAAGGAGGGTGCAGGAAGGTGGAGGATGGAGAGGAGAGGCGGAAGAGGGGAGGCACGAGGGAGGGAGAATTGGAGGAAGGACCGAGGGGGGGAAGAGTGGTGGTCATCGTCGTCGTCGTCGTCGTCGTCGTCGCCGCTGGCGGCGTCCTCGCTCTCACTGTCATCCAGCATTCGGCAGGTTTCCTGGCCACTCTGGAGACACCCCAGCGAGAGGTAGAACTGGAGCGCGCGCGTAGCGTGCGTGATGATTTTAGCATGTATACATACACATCTAAAGATGTAAACACATATGAGTTTGCGTGGAACCCAAACATTGGCTTTTTCCCCACATGCTTCGTGGGGTTCTGGTTTTCTTCCCTGCCGCGCCGCACCCGCGACACACACACACACACACCTCACTCTTCGTACAGCACAGCTCAGCACAGCACAGCACATCACAGCACAGCACAGCTCAGCTCAGCACAGCACACAGTTCAGCTCAGCTCAGCACACAGCACAGCTCAGCACAGCCCAGCACGGCTCAGCTCAGCACAGCACAGCACAGTTCGTGGCACTTTCTCGACACCACAGGGGGTGCGCAGGGGTTGGTTGGTCTCTCAGCTCGGCCGTTACCCACGACACTGGCGCAAAGCCTAGCAAGCGTCGCACTCTCTCGACACCGAAGGCGGTGGGCAGGGGGTGGTCTCTCAGCTCGGCCGCTATCCACGACACTGGCGCAAAGCCTAGCAGGCGTGGCACTTTCTCGACACCACAGGGGGTGCGCAGGGGGTGGTCTCTCACCGCGGTCCCTATACGCCCCAGTCGTCCAGGCATAGCAGGCGTGGCACTTTCTCTACACCACAGGGGGTGCGCAGGGGGTGGTCTCTCACCGCGGTCTCTATACGCCCCAGTCGTCCAGGCATAGCAGGCGTGGCACTTTCTCGACACCGCAGGGGGTGCGCAGGGGTGGTTTCTCACCGCGGTCTCTATACGCCCCAGTCGTCCAGGCACAGCAGGCGTGGCACTTTCTCGACACCGTAGGGGGTGCGCAGGGGGTGGTCTCTGAACGCGGTTTCTATACGCCCCGGTCGTCCAGCCACAGCAGGCGTGGCACTTTCTCGTCACCGTAGGAGGTGCGCAGGGGCTGGTCTCTCACCGCGGCCTCTATACGCGCCAGTCTTCCAGGGCACACCGGGCATGGCATATTCTTGACACCA